TTTTGGTTGCAATTTTGTTTTGGTTGCTCTTTTTTTCTTTGTTGCTCTTTTTTTGTTTGTTGCTGATTTTTTTTTTTGTTCTTGTCGCTGTTTTGTTTTGTTGTTGTGCTGGTCGCTGTGTTTTTGTTTTTTTTTTTTGTTCTTGTTTCCCTTTTTTGTTGTTTTCTTTTTTTCCTTCTTCCAAATCCCACGCTTTATAGGGTGTGTGATTAAATGCAGGTAGGGGTATTTTGTTCATGGGACATGTTTCCGCAGGAACCCTATAATGCAAGACCTGTTCCATTCGCTAAAAATCTGAATAATAACTAAGAGAATATTGTGCCCATATTATACTCAAGCCGTTATCTGAGAGATAATGCTTGCATGCGTTGCACTCTAGTGCTTCATGCTAGTGACAATATGTCATATGAGACGTTGGGAGCTTTATTATTACATTATGTGAGCACACGGCGTCTGCAGGGCACACAGAAGGAGTATAAGGTAATTTATTGTGAGGGCAAAATGGAGTGAGCAGGCGCCTACACATATATATAGGTGGTCGATAGGCCCGGTACTCAGTTTGCAGCATACATATGTTCACATTTCGTGAACGGGAAAGCATATGCCCCATGTGAGGATACGATCCCAGAACTAGAATGTAATATAGCAAAGGGCACACGCAGCATCCACCTGTTAACATAGAACAATGGAGTATATGTATTCGATTCCGCATTACTCCAATTGTAGGAAAGTTTATGGAAGGATATAGAGGCACAACTGGGGGAGTTTATACAACATTTGAAAAAGGACCACATGGAAGATGTATATTCTGTGCATTGCAACTATTATGCATGGGCGGACTGGAGGCCCCCGCATGGGTCACCCTACGTAGTTCCAAGCACGAGTGACAGAATTATATGTACACTCATGACTAAAGCATTGTATTTCATGAATGGGTGGAGTGCGACATCAGGCGGCTGGCGACACAACGACAATAATAGTGAAGACTTGGAGAAACATATAAGGTGCGCAATAGTAAATATATTCATGTATATATTGCTGGCATCTCCATGCAGAAGTGAAATGGGTGTATATTATGCATGGCAGACTGTGAAAGAGCTGGAGCAAGGTTCGACTGGATTAATTAACGCGCGCAAGTGCCAGCGGGGAGTGTTTACAGATATAAAAATCGAGGAATTGCACATGGAGCAAATGATTAAGAACTGGTTACAGAACAACAACAGGTTGAGTGGAAAAATTGGAGGGAAACGCATAGAAAGCATATGTAGGACACCATTAGGGGCACGCGTAGGCGGCACACTCGATGCACATACCATGGATGACAAAATACAACTGCAGACACCGCAGACGCACGTTATAAAGCAATTAGGGCAAAAGATCAAGGTATTGGTTCGGAAGGTGCAAAAAGAAGTAATGCAAAGGGCGCGGGAACATGCTAAATCCCCAATTCCTGCCTCCCCCTCGGAAGACGCGGACGACGACGATGATGACGAACATGATGAGGACCCGGAGGAGGACGACGCGAATGGTAAGAACAGTAAAGCAACAGAGTGCGACTAATACGGGCAATACGAATACGCATAGGACGCACATGGTCGATGCGGACACGGCCTCGTATAAACACGGCCGGCACGGACAGGGCCGGCACCGTTACAGCCGAATATGGATGCACTGCCACAACAAGACCGCACACGCCAACGGCCACAACAACAACGCACACGCGGGAACGGCACAATATCTTGGCTGCCCCACTTCGGGTGACGTCACGCACCGCAGACCCGGTGTAGACGACGGCAACGGTAGCGGCTGCCACTGTGTAGACGAGTGTAGACGAGGTCTGTCTGTGTGCGGCGGTGAAGAACGGCCAAATAAGTGTACTACTACGATACCACCTCACCATACGCTTGCTGTCGCCTCACCCAGTCCATCGCAGTGCACCTCGATCCATGCATCGACCCACTGCATCGACCATACCCTACTCACCCAGCACTCCTTTGTTCTGTGTTTTTTCATCCATTCCGCTTTGTTTTAACAAACATCGACCCTCTCGCGTCCCCCTGCATAGCTAAACCAAAGAGTCCAGAGAAGGGTCCAAATGGAACAGATGATAACAACAAGGACAAAGCACAACCGGCACCAGTGGACAAACCAGCGTCCAACCCTGGGGAACAAGCACAGGACCCATCATCGTCTTTACCAGATGCAGAACCCAGTCAACCCAGTTAATCTGCGGCCCATGAGGATCCTAGCCAAACCATTACAGGGGACCCGGCAGGAAAAGGCGAAAAGCCTGACCCCATGTTAGACTTTACAGGAATAGGTAACCCACCAAAGTGGGTTCAACCATGGGATACAACAGAAGATGGGGTAAAACCGAATACAGAAAACTCAGATCCCTCCGGTTTCTCTTCCTACAATCCATATTCATTCGGTTGTGCTGGTGTTGAGGACTCGGAGGGATACTCATCATGTGACCTAAGAATATCACTTAATAAATCACAAAGTGCAGGGGACCCCGGAGGATCCTGTGTACCACCTGACGGACAAGATATCACACTGAATGATGAAAACAAAAACTTAATGAATGACCCACCTCAGCATGGCGGCCCTAGTCCCCCAGACTAACCGCCGACGTCTTTACCGCCACTACTCCCGTACTCTTCTTCCTGTCCGCCGTCGCCGTCGCCCTTCTTGGTTATTCCCTTTGGAAGGTAAGCATGCACTCACAAGCACCACACGCAACGCGCACAACGCACATACGACACCACACACCGTATATGCGTACAACGCACAAGCAACCACAAATATAACCGAGTGGAAATGCACATTCGTTTCACGGCAACAATGTGCCCAAAAGGAACAATAACCAACCTACTATTTGGACGTTACTCCTCAACAAAAAAAAAAAAAAAAACGATACTAACTTTAAAAAGAAGAAAAAAAAAGAACAAGAAACTACAACAGAGATGCATCCCTAAATGCCGCATACATGGTACAATGGAAGCAACTGACGTTGGGCGCGTTCGACACAATATATTAGATACTTGGATACTCAACAACTTTATATAGTATACTAGCATAATATTCACATACTCCCATACTCATACTGGTCAGTGGTTTATTAATTTAAAAAAAAAAAAAAAAACAAGCCCTAAAAACCTTAAGCCTACTAAAACTTCTTAACCTGTGAATGTGAAACCCTTAATCTTGAATCCGCAACCCGGAATGCAGCATACGGATTCCGGAACCTTACAATCCTGAATCTTAAATCCGGATCCTTCCACCTCGCAATCCCCGAGCCTTACAATCCCCGAAACTTTAAACATTAAGCCCTAACCACACAATTGCACTATACTTATCCTTTATTATTATATTCCTTACATTGTTCATTAAATCCACTCACATTTTGTCAAAAAGAAGATAGAGATGCGGGTATATGCATAAAAATGTTGTGAAACTATATTTCTTCATTTATTATTTATAACTACGTGTAATTACTCTGAGAACGATATAAATGACGACCCCCATAAATAATAAACGGGCACAACACATGTATAATTATTCGAACACGCTACAATAACAAACCCCCCCAAAACACTGATACAATGTAACTTTGAGCCTGGTGCTCTACACCGCAAAACAACAAAAATTTCGCCGTTCTTATATGTAAAAGGGGTATACTTTATTCTGTTGTTACTGACTTCCTCACCCTTATATCTAACTTAAAACCAGTACAGTGTTATTCCACGTGCGGAATTCCATAATCCGGTGTATACAATTTGACGCCATTACAACGTTAAAACGGCGACATTATTGATGAGCCCGTGTTGAATTTGTGAAAAAGGTTGACCACTTTAGTCAACTTTTACGACGTACAATATGTACCAACAATGGGTTATCCGGGGTTCTTATGCACTTTCTCTTATTCTTTATTTATATTATGATGCATATGTATACTTCATGTAATTTATATGTACATACCTAGGTAAGAATAGTATATTTCGTACGCAATTGATTTTACCAGTATTCATCATTAACCGATGAAGAAAAGTATTACACGCATAATCTATACACGTAGATGTGGAAGAAGAGAAAATAGTATTTCTGTAGTTCATACATATAAACACGCAACATATCGCCACTCCTAACATTTTATACACGGAAAGAGCAAAGGAAGAAACAGCATGATGTTGCTTGTGAAATTCTATATATTTATTCTCGTCCTGTGTTTTGGGCAACTTGCTGACTGTGTATGAAACAAACAACTGTACTGTGGAGGAGTTACCACACATTTATTGTGATAAGCTGCTGACTCCTTCAACACAACTATAAACCTGCCGCCCATTGTTTTTTTCACGCTCTACATCATTGTGTACACCATAACAAACCCATATATCCCCCTTGTTGTTTTTGTTAGGCGAGTACAATAGGCGCATCATCGGATAATGGCACAAGCCAATATGACACTACGGATGCAAGTACAGTTGCCACGACCACCGTGTCATTGAGTGATGGAAAGGATGCGCACACACGGGGTCAACGTCATTTTTACGACGGTCATGCGTCGGGTGCACCGAAGAACACGTTGTTCGATGATATGCGTAAGAAGTTAACATCCAATGTCCCAATAAAGGAGCCGCGACATGTAAAGAGGAATCCACAGGGTGGAACAGCGCACAAGAAGTCATCGCAGGATATAACTGCAGCGAATAGTTGCAGGAGGGGTTGTAAGAAATGGGCACATTGTAAAATGGGAAGGAAAGCATGGTTGAAGCTTATATTAGTGTTCTCAGTCCTGTATTCATTCCTTATATCCCCCGTAGCACAAGGCCTCGTGAACGCGGCCGTAATGTCGCTTGGACCACCAGTCGGTGTGTGGATTGGCATGGGCACGTATGGAGCCTTTATACTCATTCCAATTATCTATTTGTGTGTGCTACTGAGATTCTGCCGCTCCAAGACAGGGAAATGTTTACTCGACAAAATTTGGAAGAAGAAGGAGAAGGAGGAAGCTCCGACAGAAACGAAAAACAACGAAGGAGAAGTAAATAAGAAACCGGAGACACTCGGGAAGCAGAATATACCTGGAAAACCAGAAGTACCTAACAAGCAGGAAGCATCTGGGATATTAGAGGTACCTAAGAAACCAGAAGTACCTGAGAAGCACGAAGCACCGGGCACAGCAGGAGAATCCGAAAAACTGGAAGCACCTAAGAAACCAGAAGTACCTAAAAAGCAGGAAGCATCTGGGATATTAGAGGTACCTAAGAAAACAGAAGTACCTGAGAAGCAGGGAGCATCTGCAAAATTAGATGCACCTAAGAAACCGGAAGCACCTAAGAAACAGGAAACACCTAAGAAACAGGAAGCAGCTGAGAAGCAAAAAGCACCGGGGAAGCTGAAACTACCGTGGTCACTGAAATTACCTAAAAAACCATAAGTACGTGCCGTATTCTATTTCTCGTAGATTATGTTGACGTTAGGATATGTTATTCGTCTGGTTACTAGATCGACCACCCCATGATGTCCTATGCTTTTTATGTGACATGGCTTATTCAGATTTATATTATGTACCTAATTGTTTCCTTTTACATTGTCATATTGTTTGTACTCTGTCCGAATATACATAGTTTTTCGTATATATATATTGTACTGTTAGTTTATATAATAAATTGTTGATGAATATTATTAATGGGACACCCATTGTAGGAAAAAAATAAGAAAAGTTCTGGCACATTCTATATATATAATGCAAGACTACTTTATATCCTACATGTAAACAACATTACATTATGATTACCATGGATACAACATGGAGCAAGTATGTTTATAAAATATAACATTCTTCATTTTTTTTTTCCCTAACACTCCCACAATTTCTGGCGCTGCATTAATATCCCCCCTTTCTGGCACTATTAATATTTGCATGATAATAACAACATACCTTGCGTAGCATATTATGTGGACGCATATATTGGTGCATGACCCATTACAACATCACCTACAGTGACAGCCCGGCTGAAGGAGAACAACGTATACATCCCCGTCTGTCAGCCGTTTCGCGTAAAGGTTCTCAAATGTTCTGTAATGAATTATCCACATATAACTCCTTCTCCTGCAAACTGCGTTCGACCGCGCTGTCGTCTATTACGGACGCGAGAAGGAGCATCCACAATTTGGCAATGACGTGTTTCTGTGTATGTGCGTCCTGATGCAGTGGTTGCGTGCGTGGTACAGCTCTCAGGCGTAGCTTCTGTTGTGCTGCCATTACATTTTCCACTTCTAAGTGTTTTTCTACTCGAGGTATTTCGCCTTTGGGCGTTGCTGTCTCCTCCTGTACACTGTTCAACAAATGCTTACACCACTCCTCTTCACTATAAGTTTCAATGTGGTTATGTTGCTGTTCGACCCAC